CCTACCCAGTTACAGATTCTACCATGGAACTCAGGTCATGCTTTAGAAAATGAACAATTATTTTTCAACCACTGAACATTTAAAAAGACAAGAAAAGCAGCCAAACCGAAGGAAACAAATGCTGCATTTGTGTCTACAGTGGTGGATGATTATGTGAGGTTTTACACGAGTGTGGGTGTGTTTGTGTCATTGTGTGTCTGAGACGTGCGATTTTTCTCTTATTGACTCAATCAATCACATGGTGGTGTGATAACAGAAGCATTGTGTGTGCGCGGACCTGTTCAAGTGGTGATTGACTTTAATTACTAACAGTGATGTGAGGAGCACAATAATGTTCCCTCAGTCCCTCTGCTGCTGCCGCTTTCTCTCCTCCTCACATCATCCATTTATATAACTGCACACAGCCCCACTGCGAGTGTGTTTTTGTGTGCTGGGGCCAGTGATGTAACTCAGAACAGTGGAAGAAAATGGCTGTCCACTTTGTCATCAGTTTTTTTTTTTTTGTCAGACTTTGTGTTAAAACCACAAACCTATGATTGTACCTGAGCAGCATTGAGTTTTCTGATTGGACAACAGTCCAATCAGAAACTAAAACGTACAGAGACCCCAAACTGAACCGCTTCAATATTGATCATGTGCAGAACACTGGATGCTGGAAAAATAAAGATTTCACTGTGTCTCATGAGACAATGAAGAAATAACTGTGCTTAATGATTTACTATAATTGTTGTATTGCAGGGTCTGACTTCACTTAATTGCCTTTGATTATGCATGATATTTTCATGTTATTATCGTGGAAATGATACTGAAACAGGAAGAAAAGGCTTTGTTGTTTTGTTTGGCGAGCCTCTCACCCTCCAGTAATATCCCAGATGGTGTTCGTCTCAGAACAAGTTCTTTTGATTTAGACTCTAAAATTTTCAGCGCAGTCTTTCTGCACATGACATATCAGTCAGACCTGCTATTTTATAGCAACAACGGAAGGATGAAAGCTCTCTTTACATTCTACCGCTGTTGACACATTTCTGACTCATGTTAGATTCCAAAATTTGATGTTTTTTTTATATGTTGTAAATGTGTTCAAAATGAATTTATCTACTAAAAATTCATATTGCTATACCTTACTGGGGTTTAGAAAATTAACAACAAACAAACAAACAAACAAAAACGTTTTTTTTTGTTTGTTTGTTTGTTTTAAAAAACTTAATCCAAGGGTTAAAAAATATTTAATTTCTCCAAAATAATCCTGGGTCTGATAATTGAAATTTTGACATTGCTAGCCTTAATGAGTGCTGACGTTTTGCAATAATTTCTATTAGTGCAACTTCTGCTAATGTTTGAATACTGGAACTGACTGTAACTCATGAAGCAATCAGCATAAGAAAGGCAACTGGTGCACTGGACAGTGTGTGTGTGTGTATGTGTGTGTGTGTGTTAAAAGCAGCTGTTCGCTTGTGCATCGCTGCATATTGGGCGGCTCACTAATCAGTCAGTGTTAGCAGTGATGCTGCGGGTTAAATATGCATGCAGCAGTGTTGCAGCATCTTTAATTAAACGATCGTAATCCTCCTGTTATTCCTGTATGAATTGTTCATGATCATTCTGCTGCCAATTAACACTGAGACTCGACAAGTCTGCGTGCGCTTCTCCGGCAGGAACTTTTATTTTTCATGAAGAAAAACAACCTTGTGACTTCAACGCGCTGCAGGAGGATTCGTGAGAGAGGAAGCGGCAGATGTAGAGCCAGCCTGACAGCGGGAAGCATCGCGGCACCTTTGCTGCTTCACACCTTTTAGCTTTTACACCTGAACTCTCGTAATGAACAGCCGCATCATTTCTGGATCTGATTTGACACCAATCAGGTCACGCAGTGGGGAAGAGTGTCTGTTATAATTACCTGAAAAGTAGCTTTACATATAGGAATTTATCAAGTCAAAGTAAGAAGAAAGCACATCTTTCCCTTTCAGAGATTCATGCTGTAGGTCTGTATCCAAATAATCTCGGAGAATAAGCACAATTAAAATCCATCTTGGCAGGGTCGTGAGGTATGTCCAGATTAATGCAATGAGAGAGAAAATCAAAAGTATAAATCATTAAGGGGTGCATTAACACTCTCTTTTTAATCTCCACTTACTCACTCTCTTTGTCATGTCTAACAGTACTTTAATAAAATCTTTTAGAGAAACTTTTCATTATCAAAGTGTTTTGTTTTCTGCCTTTACACAAAGAATGATTCAGAAGATTAATTACGGTGTTGGCTCTCCATTTGAAGCTTTAACAGCTTCTGGGAAGGATTTCCATGAGGATTGGGAAGGAATTTCTGACCCTTCTTCCACAAGCGTACAGAATTTGTAAGGTCAGGCACTGATGCGGGATGATGAGGCCTGGCTCATCGTTTCTGCTCTAATGTTACCTATCTGTTGCCCACTTCTCTACCTCTCTTGAAGCTGCAGTATGCAATTTTTCTAAACTGTTTGCATATTTGTTGAAACTGTCTCTATGTTGTGACGGTATGCTAGATAATCTAAAATACTGAGCTCCTCCGTCTTCTCCCAGTGCAGTCTAGAAACCAATCAAAGCCAGAAGGAGGATTTTAGCGCTGTCAATTGCTCCTCCATGTGGCGCTGCTCATTCCCTCTCTCCCTCCCCTCTTTGCTCTCTGCTATGCTGCCGCTGGTACAGCCAGAATGCTCCGGCTAGTTAGTTTTAAGTAGGTAATTGTAAGCTCTTTCTCCACCATTAGCACATTTAGCAGTGTGATCATTACGTTTATGAATAGTGCTAAGGCTCATCTTCTGGCTCTGATTGGTTGGTTTTGGTGCATTTCTTCAGACGGCAATAACAGCTCAGGGAGGAGGTGGAAGAGATTTGATTAAAATCACCATCTGGTCTTATTGGTGCTTCGTTTTGGTGGCACCACAATAAGTCAAAAACGAAAAAGCCTAAATTTACCAAATTACCTGCAATCTCAAGTAACTGTAGAAAGTGAAAGTTTTTGAAACAATTATTTCCTATTTTAGCGCGGGAAGTGTTAAAAGGGTTATTCAGCATACAGAAACAAATCGAGAAATGTTGGCTTTAATTGGGCTAGTTTTACTAAATTGGCTAGGAGTGAAGAACGAATGGCAGTCTGCACATGCTCGTTCAAAGGAAAATAACTCTGCAGGGTTGAACTGTGCTACTAACCATCTGCCAACATCTGATAAGGCGCGTCACATATGAAGAACACACCGCAGCTCCCTCACACTGCTGTAACCAATGACAACAACCAAAAGACTCGTGGCTCTTCCATGCAGGGTTGAAAGTTTTCTCATTTCAATAATATTCCACATATTTCCTCCTGCAGTGTTTACTAATTAGCAGCTGATTCTTCTTCTCCTCGCCTGCTGCATGAGGCGGTTTGAGTTCCACCACATCAAGGCATCAGCTTCAACTTCTGAGCAGAAATTGGACTTCTTATTGGACTCACCTACAGCTATTAATTAGAGCTGCTTTTCTTTAATTTCAGCAATTATTCCCCACCTGCAGCTCTTGTGTCAGTCCCAGCTGGATGAGGATTGGATCTCTCTGAATACTTTTTCCTGTTTGGGAAGTAAAAGAAAAATGAATTAAAAAAAAAGGAAAAATCTCTGATCTAAGAAAAGAGCAGGTGTCACTAATAGCATTAATGAGCTGTTCCTCGTAGACAAAAGTGTTAGACATCGCATTCATCTCTCCTTTCGTCTTTTTGGATACAGAAGATGAAAACTGTCGCATCGTCTTTAGTCAGCCTTTTTACGCTCGTTCTGAAGTCGTGCCATTACCTGCTCCGGCAGTGCCGAATAATCGACTCCCACCGTCCTCCTGTTTATCCACTTTAATCTGGCGGCTCTCGTGAATCGATGCTAATGTGCTCTATGAAATGTTCACTCACTGCCACTGCTGCTCTTCCTGATTAAATATTGACAGAAGAACATCATGCTTTGGTAGCTTTCTAAATATATTGATCTCACCTGAGTTCTGTACCTGCGTCGGATCAGACCGACTCCTCTTATCAGAGTGGCACCAGCAGGAGGAAAACTCGCCAATTCTTATTTTACAAAGTGCCGTGTCTCTTAACTTATGCTCAGGCTATGTCACATTTTTACGGCAACGTGAACTCAGTTCACCCTTAAACTTAAAATCAACGATTTAGTTTCACTGCATTTCTGGTGAAGCTTTAACATTTGCTCATGGGGAGGAAAGTCATTGGTGTCCAGCTTTTAAATGATTTATTTTATTATTTTTCTTTTCCAAGGGTGGTGTGAATATCAAACCACAGGCAACGATTTCTAATATAAAGAATTTAGTGAATTTATGTTTTTTTTTTGTTGTTGTTTTTCTCAATCTGCACAGGGTCAAAATTAAAAATACTGACTGAAATATGTTCATATTTTCTTTCTTCTTTTTTTTTTTTTTACCTAGGTGCTGCTGAAGGCTCTGGAATGTCTTTTAATTTGACAAAGTATTAACTTTTTGTTATATTTGCTATATTGGCTGAGTGTAGCTTGTAGTTTTTCTAAGCAGCATAATGACATTATTCATTAGCCTAATATTCATAACCGTGGGAAAGACCAGGGAAAGAGCTACTAAGTTAAACTGTCGTTACACAAGTTGGGAAAGTGAAAGCCCCTTTCACAACACACTTTGAGAGACTAAGGCACCTTTTAGCAACCTTTGTGTGTCTAACAATAATGAACTGATGCAGTGAGGGAGCTGGAAGTCAGCCCGCCCTGTTACACCCAACTCACCAAGCAAGGTTGTCACAACTCTGCATTGGCTGACTTCTATAAGAGGAAGCCGGTTTTGCAGACCAGGGAACAATGCAGTAATGAGGTTTTTGTAACGAGCTGGCCCGCAGGATTCACCCAGGTTCAAAATTCACACCAAGCATGAATGCTTGAATGAAATCTCCCATGTGGAAAGGCCAAAATGCCTTCCAGAGAAACGTTTCATGGTAAGCAGAGACAAACCGGCTGTTCTGCCTGAGTGACAAGGACTTTATTTCTCACAAAAAAAAAAGAACATTTAAAATTCTGATGGTTTGAAATATTGTATTGAATCACATCCCAATATAACATTTTTAGGACTCATCATGAGTGCGTACGTGTAACAATAACGAGTTCTGCAGCTGTGATTTCTTAGCATTCTGTTTAGGAAAAGTTGCGGGGTTTAGGTTGACTGAGGTAACTCGTCGGGGCATTTTGGTGAAGCAACAGATTCCACCTACATGTGGGTGAAAAACCTCCTGATTCCTCCTCTGCTGCCATAGTGCATCCTCCCGACTGTGCAGCCACCGTGTTTCTGTAAATCCCAGTCTGTCCATTTCCAATGAGGGTCAGCTGTGAGGGAGGAGGATGAGAGGAAGGGGCAGCAGCATCGGCATCGCTGAAATCTCCCAGCCTTCCTGAGCGAGGTGAGAATCGCCAGCTTCAACCCTGTGTGGGAGGACGAGAACAGGAAGCACAGCTAATTATTTAGTATTCTGAGGAAAGATGGAGGAAGATGCGGCGTGCCTCATCAGTCTCGGCCTCCGGGTCAGCTCGGTAATGAAGCCAAAACTGAAAGCTTCATCTCTGAAAACCTCCATCAGATGATTTGCGGCCTTGCAGCTTGGAGTCCAGAGGTCAAATGCTGTAAATCCGAAGATGCTGTCCCACCGAACCCATTACTCGGACTAATGTTGGAGGTTTTTCTTTTTTTCCTAGCAACCCACAGAATGTGAGCAGATCACCTCAATAACACCGGCTCTCATTAGAATGAAAGAGAACAAATTCAGCCAGCAGCTCAGAGGGCCCTGAGGTTTGAGGTTAGCATAAAATGCTCATCTTCCAATCAGCGTCTCACCTTTCCAGTGACTCCATGTGCTAAGAAGTACCTTTTTTCTGTTTTCTAGGAAAGCGCACTGATCTGCACAACTACGTTGTCTCACTGCGCTTTTAAAATACTGCAGAAAATAAGAATGTAGACCTGAGCAGCACTTTGGTTTGCATCCGTGGTTTGTGAAGGGTTCTATAAATAAAGCTCGGCTTGACTTGACCTAACTTGACTTGTTGTCTCACCCTGAAAAAATGAAAACAATTTAAAATCAAACTACAACCTCCAGATTATTACAAGAAAATACCATCCTAAAACAACCTGAAAGGGATTTGGTTAAGATAAAAATGAAGACTACACAATTAAGGTAAAAAAACAAAACCTCGGAGCAAAACAAAGTGAGAATGTTTCACATTGTAATTTTCCTGGAGCACACCCTGCCAGCTCTCCTTGGTTATTCACAAAAACAACAAGCCTTAGTAAAATCCATTGCTCTTACAATGTGCTTTACATTATTTTAAAAGTTTTTTTTTTTTTTCCAAACTAAAAAAACAAAACAAAAAAACTTAGCATTTAAGATGTATACTTTTCACACTTATGATGAATTACAAACCACTTTAATTAAGTTGCTTTTAAGTTATTTGTCCTTCTGTTATTAAGCAGACAGCATTAAGTTTCTGTTCCAACTTAAATCATTGTGAAGTTTATGTCTTAGATTACCCAACATTAAGTTTTCCTAGTGCAACAATTAAACATTGGGATCCAGGACCCTGACCACAGAATAAACACGACTCATAAACTGTTGATAAAAGGAAAAGAGAGGCAGGGGGAGGGGAAACAATCAGCATCTGATTAAGCTGGAGGATTACTGAACCCCACAAACCCCCATAAATACTTCACTTTAGATCATTTCTCTTTATCACATTACCACGCTTACATTAATACTGTTGTTAACCTACATATTTGACATTAGTACATGAGCTCATTTATTTTTCGCAGGACTGATTTGTGTCCTGCTTGAACTCTTTTAGGTTGTTTACTCATAAACACACATCACCGGCTGTGATATCCGCTCTTCGTGATCATGGTTCAACATCTTATGGATTGAATGATGTTTCAGGCGAGACTGTTCACCTATCTATCTATCTATCTATCTATCTATCTATCTATCTATCTATCTATCTATCTATCTATCTATCTATCTATCTATCTATCTTAGTCTTCATTTGTCTTCAGTAGGATATCTTGATACTGAAGCTGTTGTGTATTTGTTGTTGTTTTTTTTGTGTGTGACATATTCATAACAGAGTTACAATTTCCTTGAAAATGTAAATATAATGATTAGTTAGACGTGATGTTTGTGAGCTTTGACAGCGTGGGAAAGCGGCAATATAACAATCACTGCCACAGTTGCGCGAGTGACAGATAAAAGAGCAGAAATCACAAACACAGATGAATGAAATGCCAGAAAATATGACAAATGACAACTTTTCTTAGTGTGTTTTCATGTGTGAACGCTTGTCATCTCTTTTCCGTCTGATTGCTGTTTCACTCTGTAGCCTGTAGACTGGAAATTAATTGGAAATTACACATATTCAGGCTCTATATATTTGTGATGACTGTCTGAGTTATTAAAGGAAATCTATTACTGCACGCTGCCTGCCCTGTTGATTTAATGACATGTTGGTTCAGTGTGCAGAAGCCAAATAAGAAATTATGAGTTTTCTCTGCTCTGTTTTCAAACAGTGAACTTTTAATCATCTCCAAAATAAAGACAAATTAAATTATGTTGTCACCTCAATCGTCTCTGGTATTAAGAGTTGTAATGTAAAATGAATGTGCACAAACTGACACATACACAGAGCAACCCAAAACACTTCACATTGTTTGGCTTAATGTGATTTTTTTTTTTTTTTGTTTTGTTTTGTTCCATCAACAAGAGGATTTAATTCTAATTCTCTTCCTTAATCTGATTCTTTTTTTTTTTTAATCCTCATATGCTTTCATGTGTTTTAATCTTATCAGGGTGCAGGATGAATAACAAACACTTAGCAAAGGAAATAATGTAATACAAAATTAATAAACAGGAAGAGAAAGGCAAGTTAGTACCCGTAATGTTTGCAACATTTGTCAATTAAATTTATATATTTCTATAAAGCGTCTACTAGGAAACCTCATAAAACTTTAGGCCAGAAAAAAAAAAAAAAAAAAAAAAAAATCTAACATAGGGGGGCCCTTAAAATCTTAGTTTGCCAAGAAGATGGGAACAGATCTAGAACACAAAAAGATGAAAAAGGGTTTATAAAATATTGTTGTTTTTTTTTACCCTCTGAATAAGTTGTTTACATCTTTGTGTGTGAAAACATACAAAGTTTGAGTTGGTGTGAAATGTTGAATATAATCTGCTTCTAAAAGGTATCTCGAAAGATTTGAATGCTTGAAAAAAGTTGATAACTCTTTTACAGGTTTTTTTTTTTTTGTTGTTGTCTTTAAATGTTAGGATTTGCAAATGGATTTAAGAGATTCAGTGAAAAGGAAGTAGTTTATAAAGAAAGTGAAGTCAAAGCTGCTCATCAAGAACTGTATTTGTATGAAATAACCATTAAATGAAGTGCTCTGTGTCCTTGCTTTGATTTCTGACTGTGAAACTTGTTTTAATTAGACATAAGAAATGAAAACAGCAGGTAGGAGGACCTATGGCTTTCTGAAAAGACAGCCTTGATGATGAGCTGAAACTTTTCGTTCTGTATAGGAGAAAACAGATTAGATGGATGAATGCAGAGTAATTATGTGGCTTCAGCTGAAAGAATACATAAGGTCGTTGTATAATACATATTAATGAGCTAACCTTTTTGTTTTTTGATTTTTTTTTTAATCAGTGTCAAATTTATTGGTTCTTAAAAGTGTTCATCCGTCCACTTATTTGTCACCACATCACAGGAGTGATGCCCTCATCTCACCTTTGGGGATTCAACGTTGCTCCCAGGCTGCAGGAGACATGCAGTCTTCTAGACTCTGAAAAGTGTCTGGAAGCCTCCAAAGAGAGACATAAACAAGACATCGTGATCAGATCTCAGGTCATGCAGTGTAAAAACAGAAACATGCAATTTTACGTATTTTTTTATACTTCATTGTTTTATCCACAACTGACTGTATTATTTTATCCACAGCTGGAGTAGCAGGCACTCCATTTAGAGTGCCTGCTACTCTTAACTGGACATTTTGAGATACACTGTTTTGCAGGAGTGCACCTGTTGGAAAAAATCATTAACCCGCCGTCATGCTGTGTGACATGCTGTGTCACACATGCTGTGTCATCTCGCCATGTATACTGGTGTTGAAAAGTGCAATACAGATTTAAACATAAGGACAATCATCTTTCGGTAAGCTGACCGGCAATGTTCAGGAACAGGAGGGACAAGGGCGAAGGGGTTTGCTGCGCAAGTAAACTGTCTACTCCATGTCCCGCTGTCTTTCTCCTCTGCTGTTTCCCCCGCAGGAGCAAGTGAGGAGATACTGTTTTTTTTTTTATTAATTGCAAGCCCAGAGATAGTGAGGTAATTTCTGCCAGCGCTTCCATGCTGTTAGTAAGGAAACCCGCTTACTAAATATTTTATATATATATATATA